CCATAATTCATTCTTTTGCTACTTTCTTCTTGGAACAAGATATGCAAAATATGATCATTAAAAATATTCTTCATGACTGTTGGTAAACACAGCTGCTAAGCTTCAAAAAAGACACCTTAAAAGTAGAGCCATATGATTGTTGCATCATCGTATTGAAGCCATACAATAGTTTTGTGTGAGGAATAGACCATGTATGACCAAAAGTATGGAATACATGGATATTTTATTTGATATATTTGTGGACCACAATCAGTTTGAACTGCATTGTATGCCAAAGAGCTTTGAACATTCTTCAAATAGTCTCCTTTTGTGCTCCACAGAACATATAATGTAGCCTACACTGCCTTTGGAATGGCATGAGGATGAGTAGCTATGACAGAATTTTCATCTTTGACTGAACTTTAATTAAAAAAACAACAACATTTAACACAAAGCAAAGCATTAAAACATTCAAGCGTTCCCTCAAGTATAACTCCTCCTCAGCATCTGCACTGCTTACAGTTCTGACAACAAAGCAAACTATTTAATGACCTGAGACAGTGAGAATCTCAGGAATATAACAACTCTCAATATGTTGTTCAGCATAAAGCAAAAGATGAAATCACACAGCGTAACGTACTTTCCAAAACACCCTGTATCTTTAGATGGAATCGTCTGGTTTTTTCACGTTTGATGTTTACCAGACGGCAATTAAAAACAAGCTCTGCTGAGGATTGGTTCGCCCCACTCATCCGCCTACCTACAGAAAGACTCAGCCTCGACTGATTTTTTCAGCTCTCTGCTCATGTCAATCACAGCGTTTGCTCTCTGCAGCCTAGCGCCCTATCCTCCTTTAGGAAACAGAACGGAAAAAAAGCATAAACAAGTGAAAGAAAAAAAAAGAAGAAGAAACTGCCAATCTTCCAACTCGCAAAACAAAAATCACAAAAATGATAAGTATGCCGCTATTATAAAAACATGACACAAATGACTGCAGAACATGTGGCCTGCACCTCTTTACTTGAATGATCTCCACAACAAAGGAACAGAAAGATCGAGAGAGATAGAAAAAAACACCAACATTGAGCACTTTCATGGGACAGAAAGCCTTGTGAAAGCCTTATTTGCCTTCAAAGTTCTCCAGCCATGGGTGTAGGACGGGCTTAAGTGCACCAACATAAGGCCCAGCTCTGTGGGTGTCAGATTTTAGCCCACTAATCAAAAGCTCAGAAGTCCGTCTCTGTTTTGGAGAGGCGTTTGTCCATGGAATCAGCTCTTTGCCAAAACTTCTTTTTGAAGTATAGACCGCAGTTGTTTTCATGAAACTTGTGTCTCATTTTGAAACTCGTGTCTCATTCTGTGACATACAATAAGGAGAATTAAGAAAAATAAACAGGAAATTTAGAGCCGCACTGCACAGTGTCCGTTAATGCACGTTTACAACTAATGATTGATACAAAAGTCTGTTTTCTGTTCATTTACTGAACTTTTTTTCTGAAACATTTTAGTTGGATGTCCATCTAACATTTTTGAAATGTTACTTGTTGCAGAATGTCCAGAGAACATTCAAAAGTAATATTCACATAATGTTTGCAAAATGATAAAATGGAATGTTGCCTTAACATTCGTATAACCAAGAAAAAAACATGTTTAAAACATTTTGAAAAAACTGTTTTGAACATTCAGAAATAACATTTTCACAACTTAATGGGAAGTTCTTAGAACATATTTTTGTTAGCTGATGTTTTTTTTATTTTTTATTATGTTATTGAAGTTTACAATAAATAAGCTTCAAAAACATATTTCAATTAAGCAAAAAAAAAAAGCAACAATGGCATCATAAATGTAGCTTCTTTAGCTCAGATCATGCTAAAAATCATTTACAGTTACACACAGGCCTAGCTTAATGTAGTATGTGTAACATAGACAGTGCAGTGTATTACCAGTATTACCAAATTTGCCTCTAGATAATATTTTGAAGAATGTGAGTAATTAAACAGTTAACCTTGTGTTCTGTTCGATTTCTGTGTACTCCCCTTATGGACCGGGTCAAATTGACCCTAATTGGATTCAATACAATTCCTCAAAAATCACACTATGAAAAACAACAAAGATTTAGATACAAACTGTAAACTTTTAATATCAACATTTGTCAAACATTACAAAAACATTATATCTGAAAATATGATTTATGACCTTTTTTTAAAACATTTTTTAAAACAGTTTTGTTTTGACAAAATTGGAAAATAAACAGTATACTGATTTTTTTTGCATATTTTTTTTTTTACTTTTTTTAAAATATTTTTTGTTTACATTTTATGCTTTGAACATCGTAACTGAACAAAAAATATTGCTGTATAATGAAAATTTTTCATTTTCCTAAGTTAACTTTCCCTAGTTTCCTAAGACCTATTTTCCTAGTTTCATTATTCACTCACTGGGAAGTGAGAAACCAAACATAACAAAAACATACATCAAATAAATGTTTTTTATTTATTTTTTGGCTCTGTGAAGCTGCCTTTGAAAATCCTACATAAAAGTTTTGGGTAAAAGCTAGGTATTTTAGATATTTTGAATATTGAAATGAGAGCTTATTTTACTATCTGTGTCGGACAAAGATTTTCATCTGTAATTTGCAAATAATTCTGAACACTGTAATTTTATCTTTTTCAAGTGTGTTTGGTTAGGGTTAGAGCACTTTTAGATGCACTTGCACGTTAGAACTGGAGTTGAAGTGCCCTGACATACAGAAAATAAATGTTTTCATTTTGTGTCTGTACAGTTGCTTTTGAATGGCTGTCTATGAGGGTCAAATTGACCCGCGAACATCACGAACGTAACAGTAATTTTGTTTGTATATGTCAAAACACATCAGCATGTTGAAACTTTGCATGCATGTTCATCATGATAAATGAGAAAAAGTCACAAAATATCAAGAAAAAAAACAAAGGTTAACCAGTATTTCCAACAACTTGAAAATCGAAACGGGTCAAATTGACCCGCTACATAATAACACAAGGGTTAATGGGCTCCATTGACTTCCATAGTATGGAAAAAATACTATGGCAGTCAATGGGGCCTATCGACTGTTTGGTTGCATATTCTTCAAAATATTGTCTTTTGTGTTCAGCAGAATAAATTCATACAGGTTTGGAACAACTTGAGAGCGAGTAAATGATGACAGAATTACTATATCTTTAATATTCTGAACCTGTGTCATGCAATGATCACGAATCCATGTGAGTTATTTTGTTAAAAATGTGAGGAATAGACCACGTTATGACCAAAAGTATAGACTACATGTCAATTCTTAAATATTTTTGGATCACAGTCATGGACTTTGAACTGTCATTGGACGCAAAAGACTAAGAGCTGCATGAACATTCTTCAAATAATCTCCTTTCGTGCTCCATGGAACATATAACAATGTACGCTTTGAAACAACACAAGAATGAGTAAATAATGACAGAATTCTCATCTTTCATCAATGTAAAGTATTACCAAATTTGCATCTTATTTACAATTTTCTCTTATTATTCTGATCTGAACCAGTGTCGTGCAATGGTCATGAAACCAGATGAGTTCTTTTAAGGCCCTTTACTCTGCATCAAAAACGGGACTTTCTGTACCTCAACAAAAACCACAAAGCCTTCCTCTACCCAACTTTTTTTTCTTTATACTTTCCCCTGTGGGACATAACCTTGTAACTGTCGGCTACAGCAACTGAAGATAAACCTCATTGGAGCTTGTTGAGTGCAAGGAGCAAAAATGCAGCAAAACTAAAGGTTGATGGTGAAAAGAAATGCACTCTTTCATGGGGAATGAGGTTAGAATCCTTCCTAGAAACCAAAATGACAGCATCTGCATTAGTCAGATGCTTGCTGACTCCATGCAAGCGTAAGTGACAGGGTCTGAGCCTGGCGTGGGAGTGCCTGTCAGGAAAAGCCGCTGTTGTCTCTGCATCCTAGAGAAATGAGAAAGCAGCCGCCCGCTGTGTCTACGCCCACCACAAAAATCCCCCTTCCATTTCAAAGGGCGAAGACTGCACAGAGATGACATTTTCATCTGGTCTCCTCTAGATTTTGGTTTAACGTTTTTCTTCCCACCGCTTATCTTTGCGTTTGCCACAAAACTGCATTTGCAGGACTAGACATTTTAAGACTGCATGCTTTACATTGCTGATAGACAATGGATTTTCACGTTCTCTATTTAGCTAGATTGTGACGGTAATTAAATTTCCACCAATTTTTCTAGTTGTGATAACTTTAAATTGTTTTTTTTTTTAGAAAGATTTTAAAGATCATTTCAAAAAGCCCCTAACATACATTAGACCTGAGAAACATGTAGGCTATATTCACTATATAAATTTGAATTACTTTTTAAGGTTCTATTAATTTCCATGATAACAGAACAAATTGCAGTCAGTAGCCTACTGTATCCTACAATGCAACGTGTAACCTTCTTCCAGTTCCAGTGTGATGAATAAGTGTATATTAGCATTTTTAAACAAGTTAAATATAAATCGGTTACATTTAAAATGTGTTTATTTCTTAAATGATTACCGAACTTGCTGAATTCAACATGCAATGTGAGGAGGTCATGTGACAGCAATGCAACATACTAAAACAATTGTTGTTGCATAATGCATACGTTTTTCATTTTTTATTAAAAACATATTTGTTAATTGAAATAAAGTTTATATATATAAACATCATATATATTCAAATATATATAATATATATATTCAAAATATCAATACAATATTTTAATACAATAAAATAGTACATAAGTGTCACTGGTGTTTACTTTCAAACCTTTGACTTCGGAGTAAGGCCTGAGTAATCGAACACTAAACTCCCAAACGGACTTTAGAATAGAATCCATTAAGAACATGACATGTGCTCTTTTGTGTATTCAACGACTTATATGTTTTATAAATAGAAAATTAAAGCCTCTATACTTGATGAATGAGTAAATAAAATATCGGGACCTATCATCCACTCTGAAACGGTTAGTCTGGTCTGGGTTACACGAATCCCACCGAATTTGAAACCGAAAACATTAGCTTAGCTCATGTTAGCTTAGCGGATTAAATCATTAACCTGCTGTGTCTGTCAAATCCATCCATTTAACACAATACTCCACAAAACATGGGGAAGTTAGCTGCTTTTATACCCGTTTTAACTCTATTGTGTGCTTACTGGCAAAGTGCAGTGGGAAACAGAGGATATTCATACGCAGGTAAATAACTTGTGCTAAACAAACAGCGGCATAAACGAACATCACTAACATTACAAAACTATTACATTGTGATTGTAACTATTGGATTTTGAATGTGATAAAACCCCAGACTACAGTTAAACCACTCTTTATATCGTGAGCTGGACACAAATGATGTGTGTCAAAATGGTGAGCTCTGTTGCTTAAAGTTTACTATGTAAGATTTTTCAGCATCCATTAAACAATAATCAAATTGTTTGTTTATTAACTGGTTTGTCTGCATGCGTCTGTAATCTTACCTTGGTCCTTCTAACCTTTTCTTATCTCGCCTGTAAAGTCACCATGAAATCTAAATAGACAATTCTTGTTTTTATGGAATATTACAGTATTTGTTAAATGATTTAACCATACAAATCTTTTTTAAATGTATGTTCCCTTGTTATCTTTAATTAGGGTTGCCAACTTTCTGAAATGGAAATAAGGAACGGGGGGGTGGGGGGGGGGGGGGGTTATTTTATTATAATGCAACTTATTAGGCCTATATATTTATAGAATAGCAAAGTAGGCTTAATCAATATAAAAGACTTAACCACACAGATATATAAAGGCTATCATGATCATTTTGCCAAAAATGAACCATGTATTTGTTTAGATTATAATACGTTTTATTTTTAACTTAAAGAAATACAACATATAACATTCGAAACTCATCGGCTTAGACTGCATTTGAAGAAAAATAAACACAACAGTTTTCTGTAGCCTTGTGCGAACTTATTCAATAGAATTAGACTTCTAGAATGTTCTTTCCGGTGCAAATAAAAAAAAAAAAAAAAAAAATTAGTAGTTTTTCTTATCATAGCCTACAAATCGTGAGCTTAGAATTATAAGGTTCTATCTCCGTTTAGGGTAGTTCTGAGATATTGAGCATCAAAGTTTTTACATCCCTGCTGTTTTGTGAGATGGAACCTTTTTGTTTTATTAATAACTACTAACAAAATATTTTTTTTACAAAAATAACACCACACAGTCATTAATAAACACCTAATGGATAAGATTATGTCAAAAACTCAATTTCGACCAAAAGTGGAGATAGAACCTTATACTTCTAAGCTTCGGAAACACATTTTACTCGATTTACTAAAGCCTGTAAAATGCATTTGCAGCTGCACAGCTTGCGCATTGAGCGTCTTGCTCGCTCAGGCTGCGCTGCGGCAACTGCACATCCAATGGCGCGGGCGCCAGAGCCCGTCAAGGTGGCGCCAAGTCCCCGAATTTGCCATTATAGCAGCGGGTCTTCGTTCATTCATCATAGTCTGTCTGACATATATATTAGAAGCTATGCGTCTGTCATGGATTTGCACTGAATTGATTCTCAAAAATACGGAACAAAGTGCGTTCCGTATCAGTTCAATACGGAACAAGCCTTTTATGTGTCAAATACGGAACGATTCCGTATTATACGGAACGGTTGGCAACCCTATCTTTAATCAAAATAACTTCCCCTCCCTCTTCCAACCACATATCCCCTCTGATGACGTGTTTACTAGCGCGAGGGCGGGACAACCTGTCACTCACACGAAATCGCAGCAATAGCAAACCACAATCGTCTAATCAATTCTAGATGGACTGATGCCTTGTCCAAATACACACTCTTGTGGTCTTGGCCACTTGAGAGCGTGTGCAACAGGAAGTAAGTGCGCATGCCATGTCTTAAAAATGCCAAAGTGCAGTGCCCTTAAAGGAACACTAAGTAAGATTTTTTACCTTAAAATAATGTTTCCAAAATCGTTTCAGTGGTTCATTAAGTCGTAACAGGGTGAAAGGCACTTCTGGATTCGCTTTGCAGTCCTATATCTGCTATAACCACGCTATGTAAGATTGCCAGATCGGGTCGCGCTTCTGTAGTTCTAATGAGACATAAGAAAACTACAAATTTGACTTGCTTTACGTCAAGCGCTACAATAGTCATTATTTAGTTTTTCTTCGTTTCTGATGTCGCAATACATCATTCTTTCATGAAATCATGCAACATACTCTACCTTGTCTGTGGACATCGTTCATTCCAAAGCCGGTGCTGGATAAACAACGAGCGTGCGTGCGACAGTAGGCTGCGGTAGGCTAAATTATTTACGACAGCGGTAATGGACAATTCCGCTTCCAACCTGTAGGGCGACCGCAGAGGAAAAGTTACTTGGTGTTGCTTTAATGCACACTAAACCAAGGCTATTCAAGGCTAGCCTAAGCGTATCCCATCATGTATTAAGTTCTGGAACTCATGTGCCCCGAAATCGCGAGATGTCGAGGAAAACATTCCACTGTAATTTAAATTAATTACATACATATAATTTGGTTGTAAAAACATAAAGTGTTGCACATTTTATTGGTGCAAAGATAAGTATGGTATGTAGGCCTATTTTATACAACATTTGCAACTGTTTTTATCTTAATTAGAAGCACCACAATTTTAAATTTGTGTCTTCTGTTAGTTACATAGCGACTACTGAACAGACATCTAGAAGTTTATTTTAAAATGCAAAGTATTGAAAATATAATAAATAAAAGCTCTGTAAACACTTGCATTTTTTGCAAGACTATAAGTGTGTCCTATCGAGCAATCAAAAGTTTTACACACACTTGCAGTCTTTACGCCTACTTGAACACTTGGGCCTAATAGAGAAAATATGTCATGCAAGTAGACAAGTGATCAAGTGCAAAGACCGCAAGTGTGGGTATTTGGACAAGGCAAAAACCGAGAAGCTGCTCACTGCAGAGCAAATGGGTGAAGCTTACGTCTAGCTCCCCCTCCCTAGACGTCCAGGGAGGAGGAGCGAATGTAATTTGGGCCTAATGTGTTGAGCTAGAATATCCAACCACACCCTAACCCTACCCACACCAAATCAAGTCCCGTCCTACATTTTTTCTTGTTTGAGAAGCCATTTCACTTGGATACATCACAATAGTGAAGAAAAGACTGTCGCAGCTTCCATTTCATACTGACTTTAAGAAGGTCTGCAATCTCTCTGATACTCATTTTTCACTGGTTTATGATCAGGAACCATTCATTCACTCTCTGTTTCAGGTTCTTCATATTAGATCCATATTTTTGTCAATGCACCAAGCTTGTGAGGCTATATTTTTAGGCCCTGTAGTCCCAATAGTGTCCTATAGTGTCTATTTTTTTCCTCACTGTGCCCAGTTTGTCTCCACGGGGAAAACAATGTGGGGAAAATTTATGAATTAAATGTCTTCTTAGCACAATAATTTCAATTGATATTTTTTATATTAGGGTTTATTTGGAACAATTCTGTTGTTCTCACTCAGTGTCATGTGCTAGTTACAGATATTCATGAAATCCACATTATTAAATACACAATATTGCTTGTAAATACCAAGAAAAAAACAGTTTAAATATGATTTGTTAATCTAATTGTAATATTTTCATCACCAGATTCTATAAAATAGTGTTTTTGCAGATTTCCCAAATATAAGTTTTGATGTGACTTTTACAGTTGACTGTCAGACAGTAGCAACACATGATCTTATAGCTCAAGAACTGAATATTCGAAAAACTATAAATATAAAGTAAAATAACAGTAACAAACGTGCATTCATTGTAAGCCAAATACAAATACAGTCTTTTTTTTAACATTGCAAAATAAAATATGGTAATTTTTCCTAGGTCAGGGATTTGAACCCCTTTGAACTAAGAAAATGTATTTTAAAATGAATTTTTCAATAATTTAACAAAACATTTGTATGTTCATGGTTCTCTGATGTTGGTTAATGGTCACATGATGTGCGAGTAAACAATATATTTCATCCATTTTGGTAAGTGCTTTATTTTGATGATGTCCATTTATAAATGATAAGAAAGTAATTACTACTGGATAGAAGCAACCACACATGAACATGTCAGGTTTTTGGAAAGTGAGGATTCTGCAGTTGCATTAGTGCAGTGATTAGGATGAATTTAGTCTGTGGGCAGAAGCTTGTAGTCTGTGTTCTTTTCTGGGACGGTTCTGTACTGTTTTAGACATAGAGAAGAAGAAAATAGTTGGCGGGGATTGTTAAATTAAAGCAGAGGAGTAATTCTGATCCTTTCCTGATTCTGACAGATTGCACCTATGTGAAAGGAGACAGTGTCCACGAGTATTCTGGGAGTCGATGCTTCTGTTACAGCTCTGGTACAGTAATCAAATGGAAGGACATCTGTTCCACCTTCAAGGTAATTTATTACATCCTACTGTGGCTGTGCTTATTTTTTGGGTTAACTCCCACTTTAAATTGAATACTGACAAGACACATGCTGTTCAAAGGTAAATGTGACAAGTGATGAGGACGTCTTTGTTGTGTTCCCGATGGAGACACAAAATTGCCACCATCCGGGTGATGCTCTCACTGTTACTAAGTGCTTTGTTGAACACTATTGGCCATCCACTATCCAAAGAGAGAAGTCTTTGGACATTCCTCTGGTTGATGAAGATGTCTGCTTCATGACCAAATCGGCTAGAAGCAATAATGTGTACACACTGCACGTCTCCAAAAAAAGTGAGCATCACACACCTTATTCTCATACTGAGTACTTGGGCACTGGATCATGATTGTTTATTTTATATTACAGGGTTAAATGGAATGTGCCTTCTGCTTTTTGTGTGTGGGTTGGCACTGTTTTGTAGAGCGGGAAACATATGCAGGTAAGTGGCAATTTAGGTCTGGTTTAGATGTTCTCATCTAAAGAAATTCTCCAGTAGAATGTCAGATTTAATTCTGATCAAGGGGTTTTTTTTTTGGCAAACCTTGAAAAAAAAATTACACCACGCTTGTCTTTGTAACTTAACCATGAATAAGATAAAGTTTAACGAAAAATGATATCATTATTTACCTTTGTGTTGTTATTTATTTAAAATGTGGAACCAAAAAAAGACATTTTTTGAAAAATCTTTATGCAGATCTTTTCCATGTAATGGTAGTTCATACTAGTGGCCACATCTATCATGCTTCAAAAAACAGTAAAAGCATGATGATAAAAGTGGTCAGTGCAGCTTGTGTGTTCTAGTCTTCTGAAGCCATACAGTAGCTTTGGTAAAGAAAGAAAATAGTTTATATAGAATGCAAAGGGTTCTGCATGGGTATCAGTTAATACCCATTTGTGCTCTGTGGATAAGGGATATTCAATTCAGTAAAAAAATGTAATATGTACAATTTTCAATTGTAGTCTTTTAAAAATCATCGGAAATAATAAACTAAGTGCAATGTAGTGTTGTCAAAAATAGTGATTTTTCGATACATATCTGTAACGCAGTTCAGATGTTATGGGAAGAAGGAGGTGGGAACCGGCGAACATTAAATTTTTTTTATAACAAAACAAATACAAAACGAAAGTAAAAGACTGATGCTGAATGCTGTCACATAATAAAACATAAACAACACAACTTAAATCCAGGCCTGTCCTCTCTCGATCTCCACTGTCGTCTCTCCTCCTTTTATGCTTCCGCTCCTCCGTGAGAGATACGAGACCGGTGCGTCGTGCAGGTGTCGCTCATCAGTGATCACGCCACCGGCCTCGCGCCGCTCTCTCACGGCCCTCGGCCTCGTCCTGCTCGCCACAGTATCGATACTGAAAAATCTGAAACGCTTCCAGTACTCATTTTCCGCAGATTAGATACACGATACCAGCCGCTCTCCCATCTATCTGACAGCAAGTTGACACACAAACCTGCCCTGTACACAAGTCATATGGACTACTTCTATGGTGCCTTTTTGGAGCTTGACAGCCGTGGCCACTGTGAATTGTTGCGCAAAATCTAGAGAAGATTCTTAAAGAACTCTCCTTTTGTATTCCATGGAGAGAGAAAAAAGCATATAAGGACCTTATCGACATAAGGGAGAGTAAATAATGACAGAATTTTCATTTGTGGTTGAAATGTATTAATCTGTCCCAATCTTCATGGTTTCCAGGAGCTCACTGTTTTTCTACACAGCCGGAGTTTCATTGGGAGTCATCGCCATATTTGTCCTCCTGACTCTTCTCCTCCGAAACTTCATACCAAAGGTGTGCAATGCTTCTGTCACAACCTTTATCATGATCATTATAATACACTCTATCACATGTTTCCTCACCAATCAAACATGTTGGATGAGTAGTATGAGTTTAAGCCTGTCAATGCTGGTATCGTCTCTGCTGATGAGATTAAAGATAAAGGGTGGTGGAGACTCACTCCTCAACACATACAGCCGCAGGCATGTACATAAGGTTTTATGTATGAATCAGGGTTGTGCAATCAATTACAGATTGATTGACAGCTTGCAGGTTTGGGGTAGGTCAGAAGGTTAAGCACATTCAATAATGCTCTGCTTCCCCCCCCCCCCCCCCCCCCACCAGCGAGGGCTGTTCCTGGTATTGTTGGGTGCTGGCTCCAGTCTGTCCTACATCGGGATCCAGAGGGTGTTAAGTGAATGGGATGACATTGTGACTGAGCACGGGCTAGAATTACTGGGTAACTAGGCAACCTTTCTCTGTTACAACCCATCTCTCCCTGTTTTCCTTTGCAATCATCTCATCAACCAATTAGATCAGACAGTAAGCCTTCGCTAATGTTAATAAATGGTCTTTCAAATGTACCTTTTGTGCAGTTTTGCGTGTCAGTCGAATGCCTCGTGTTGTCTCTTAATTTTCTTGCCGTGTTCTTTATACAATAGAATAATTACTGTACATGTCATTTAGACAGATTATCCTTCTACACACTCTCGCTGCATATTTCATCAGCTGAAGCGCACATGCCTGAATCATATAGTAACAGTCTAGAGCAGATTGATACCTTTTGTATCGGATATCTTGGCTCCGTTAGTGTTATAATGTGAGGGCCAAGTATTTTGAATGCTGAAATGACTGCCTCTTGACTGCTCAATAGATTCTATTCTCTGCCAAATCAATTTCCCTCTTCAAGCACTCGCAGTATGTAAATGCATCAGTGTTTTTGAATGCGAGAACTACAGGCATATTAAGATTAAGGGAAAGAAGCTGCCGTGCTGCTGGAACATTGATTTCTATGCCTAAAACAAAAAGGCTCTGGGAGGATTACAGCCCCAGTGTGTGTCTGTTTTCTGGCCCTTTTATTTTCTCTCTGATTTTTTTCTTATTCTATGTTTTCACAGATATAGGCTACTGTAACATGAAAAGAATAGTTCACTCAAAAATGGAGATGGTCCTCACTGCAGAACACGAAATCCAGGGGGAGGAGTTGGATCTGGACCTCCTACCTTACATAGACCTAAACCTACCCATCTCCACCCCCTGATCCCTAACCCCACCCCTAATCCTACCCATCTCCACCCCTTAGATCTGGATCCAACTCCGCCCCCTGGATCTCGTGTACTGCAATGAGGTGCTACTGCAAAAATGAGCATTTTGTCATTTTACTCACAATCATGTTGTTCCAAAGCCATGACTTTCTCATCGTCTTTCTTTTTTCTTCTTTTTTATAATTCCATAAAATTAAAGTGAATGGGTACTGGGTTTGTCAAGCTCCAGAAAAATCTTACAAATTGTCAAAATGACTTGAAACCATGCAAACACTTTGTGAGGAACTAAATTTGTTATTTATTGATCAATGACTACAAAAATGGCACATTGACACAATTTGTCAACATTTTCCCCAAACCCTGTTATTTTGGGGTTTAACTGATTAATTTGTGATTTTAGAGCTTTAGTTGAAGGGATTGTTGGTATATAATGTCTTGAACTTCACATAAAGCTTTCGTATAGTTTGAGAAGACTTGGAATGAAAAAATCATAAGGACTATTTTTTTATCGTGCTTTTTTTTGGTTCTTTTTGGAGCTTAACAGATCCAGTCCACATCCACTATCATTATCTAGAAAATATGGACAGGATATTTTTCAAGAACCTTTTGTTTTTAATAATAAAAAAAGTCTACTACATCACAAAAGTTACTACACTACCATACCCCAGTTTGGGATCAGTAAGATATTTTTTTTTAAAAGAAATTAATACTTTTATTCAGCAGGTATGCATCAAAAGTGACAGTAAAGAAATGTATAATGTTTAAAAAAAATCTATTTCAAACAAATGCTATTCTTTTAAACTCTATTTATCATAGTATACTGAAATTATATATCACAGTTTTCACCCAAAAAAATTACTTTATTTTTTTTTTATCAAATAAATTTGGTGGGCATACAAGGCTTCTTTCAAAAAACATTACAAAATATACTGACCCCGGTGGTAGTGTAGGTTAGAAATCACTTTCGGCTGAGTAAATAGTAACTTAGTAAATTAATAGAATTGTTACAGTATTGTTACATTATATTTCACCATTGTTCTTTTGTTTGTATGCTGGACTATTCAGCAATTTGTTGCAGCATTAGCCCGTAATGTTTGCATTCAGTGAGTGTAGGCTCGGCAGATACACCACGACATCCACTGTTATTGATGCAAGTGAAGGCTTGCCTTAAAGGAATAGTTTACCCAAAAATGAATGAACGTCAAAAGATGTCACGTTGAGTTGTTTCAACGTGTATAGATGTATTGTGACTGTTGTAACTAAGTGTGCTTTGTACGTAGTATTACTGTTGGTTAATGGGCTGTTTATGAATGAGGCAAGCTCAGGCAGGCTGCTTCGGTCCGATTCAGATTGGGCATGCTTTTTTTAATGTTACCTTACATGCGTAAAACACCCTACTCCTTTATGTAGCATGTGTATGCACATACGCAAGAAGGTCAATTAATGCCAAGCTAGACATTTAAAAATGATTTTATTATTATTTTCTTTTTTTCTCTTTGTCTGCAGTATATGTGCTCATATCAGGCTTATTTAGCTTTGCTGTATGCTATAAGCATGGCCCCATCACCAACAAACACACCCTCAACTTTATGACCTGGTGTATGCAAGTAGTAGGCATGGTGTTGCTATACTATGGGATCACATTCCCCCCTGCCTACTACGTACTGATTGCTGTCCTGTTGTGCTTGAAGATTCTGCCCTTGGTCTGGAGCCTTCTGGTGTGGATTTGCAGGTAAGGAAAGCACCACAAACTGTACTCAAAATTTCTAAGTGAAACAGGATATTCAGTGTGAATTTTTTTTTTTTTAATTCCGACAACACTTTAGTTTAGGGTCCAATTCTCACTATTACCATAACTAGTTGCTTATTAGCATGCATATTACTAGGATATTGGCTGTTTATTAGTACTTATAAAGCACATATTAATTCCTTATTCGACCATATTCTACATACCTTAATCCCATACCAAATACCAAAACTTAACGATTACCTTACTAACTATTAATGAACAGTAATTAGGAGTTTATTGAGGCAAAAGTCGTAGTTAATAGTTCGGTAATAGTGAGAATTGGACCTTAATCTAAAGAGCGACTATAGTCCCCAGCCAAATAGGAAAGTTTTAAATGCAAAGCCACTATTTATTTACAGATACTCACATCGTTTTTTTTGTTTATCAGTTGTTGACTCTTTAATACTGGGTATATTATTTACTACCTTTGTATATTTCATTCATATGTATTTAAAATCTTTTATTTTTTTATTTGTGTGCAAAATAATGTATGGTAATTTGGAGGTCATGTTGACTTTTAAGTCTAGGATAGAAGGTGAAAGCTAATCATATGATGAAATTAAGTTTTAAACAGGTGAAATATGAAATCCTAAATATTTGTATTTTTGAACTTCTGCCTTCAGGCTCTTCTGCTCATTCATAAGCTTGTTCCGGAGGAAGAAACGGTCCACTATCAGGCTACTGACCGAGGAGGAGTACAGAGAGCAGGGAGAGACCCACACCAGAGCCTCCCTGGATGAACTACGGGAGCACTGTAACAAGCCTGGCTTTCCTGCATGGGACACTGTGTTGAGGCTCAGATCACCGCAAAAGTAATTAAACATCTGTAATCATCAAAATAAGCATGTTTGAAAGGGACATATACCGTAATGGTGAACAGGATTTTTGACATTCACACTACAAAGTTCCTTACTCAGTTTAATTCATGTTTAGTGAAAAATTGTGTAATTGTTTTAAATGTGGTGCAATTTTGCATGGATAGGAGAAAAATGCTATGAAATGCTATATGGCCCTTTAGTGCTAACCAGTTGTTGTCGTCTCTTTCAGGTTTGCAGAGTTTCTGCGCAATGGGAGCCACATCATTCAAGAGGAGCTTCAGAGTCACGAGAATCAGTACGGGCTTGGTGGGGCGTACTACGAGAACGTGCTCTTTAACAGCAGCTCCAGCGACACCCAGTCGCAGAGAGGAGAGGCAGAGGACAGTAGCGAGGACGAGCCGGTGAGAAACGGTCCTACAACCCTAAATAATCTCCCCAGTCCTGCTGTATACGCCCCAGCCGTCTGCCCATATCCCCCTGCCACCTACACCCCTCAGCCAGAACCAATGGATCCAGAAGACCAGGATTTCTTTTGAAATTGTGCCGCAATCTGTAGGAAGAGTGATTTTTATGTTCATTTTAAAAAGACTTTTTGAATTGCACAATATTGTTAGGAAGGAATGACTGTAAGGAACATTAGTAGGTCCATGAGGATTTTAAAATAGTCGCTCTCTCTCATTTGTTTGTTTAAATGATCTCTTTTAGGCAGCGTGGGCTGTTACTATATTTTTTAAGCAGTGTGTATTCTCATACCCAAGTGATGCAGAGCTGGGAATAACACTGTATTGTACATACTGTATGTTAATAGATGGTGAAAATCATCAGGATATCATTGCAGTCGACTGCTCAAGAGAATGACTCCACACATACAGTATAACAGCAGCATGTGTCATTTTAAGGATATAGTGCCCTCTAGTGTTAGTTAAAGAAACAGGTCACCTACAAGTTGCTTTTGATCATTTAGTTAAATAGGGATACATGCTTTACAAAAGCTCCTAAACCAACACCAAAGCATCTACATTTCTTGTGTATTCTAAGTCTTCTGACATCAATATGATAGACTATCGTAGTCATACTATAGCAGAACGGATTATAATTGAATAACAACTTACATTTATATCTTTTCCTCACATAAAACGATTCCAGGGGACGGTCAGGCTGGTCAGCATTTTCACACTATTTCTATCGAAACAGAAAGCTAGACTGACGTGCTTGACCATTGAGCTTGAGTCGCGTTTTTTGCTGTGTTGCGTATGACACGGCGTTCTTAAAACGTTGCTCTCAAGTTAAAATAGCTTTTAAGAACGTGTCTCGGGACCTTGCGTTTTTTTCTTTCCACTAATCACATTTGTAAAAGCGTTAACGCGTTCTGTGTGGCCATTATGGAGCCATTCACTCAGGACGTTTTTCGACGATTTTCCGTTTTTTTTGTGTGTGTAAACATGGCGTAGACAGATGTGTTTTACCTAAGGTTGCCCTCGGGTCTTTTAATAGTCTTGACATGGTGTTCTAAAAGTGATGTGATAAAAACACTTTTTTTTTGGCTCATTTTTTGTTCCACTGCCATGCGTCTCACGTCATTCATACAGAACACGTTTTTTTTCTCGCTGGTTTTCTACATAAACGTGCTAGACCAGCAGGGTTTAAATACGAAATTATGCCTTCAGAAGAATAGTTTATTATGTGGAATAATTTTATGGTCCTTTTTTGGTATTTTTTCCTCACATTCATTTTGCATTCTCCCAAGTTCCCTTGCAAAAGGTTAGATTTTTTGCTCGGGTAATGAATTAGTATTACAAACGAATGCAATGTTCCCCTGGTTGCAAAAACATAGAATATATATGTTCTATCACATTTAGGGGCTTTGTAGAATTTTCATTTTTGGGTGAGCCATCCTTTTAAAATGAATCAACTCAAAGTGGATGGTCTGCATCCATACAGGTGTAAATATGTACGTCCTGCCATTTCATATTCTTTCCTTTTTATGGAACTTTTATCTGAAGAGAGAATGTATGTTTTTATAAATATTTCACTTTAAATTGTTACCATTGTATTTAATTAAAAAAGACATATGGCTAAATTCTAGACCCGAATATTGTATTGTGTGTTCATATGTAAACATTTCATGTATTTTCATAGTAGAGGTTACTTGTACACAAATCTGCGAGGCAGATGGTTTCAGACACTGTGGCAAATCAATACCTTCAGATGGTACATATAACTATGCACTTGGTTTTAAAGATTACTGTATATGTTTAACAGAAAAGAGTGGCTTTAACATTTTATACAGAGTAGATGTTTTTTTATTTTTAAATTTGGTCACAAGTTATATGGAAGCACGAAAAGCAAAATAATAATTTATACAGAGTGCAAAGCAACTATGCTTCACTATTGCAACATCAAGTGCCATGAATATTATGCTGAAGCACCTCAGTTGTTGGATTATAACCATTAAACACTCAGTAATGTGCAGATCTCATCATAGGCATTGACCTTCAAGCACTCTGTACAAAGCCCCTTTGTGGTTAAGGCCCTTTGCGGTTAAGGCAAGACATCAATTTTGGCAGTGCAAAGCATATCGATTCTATTGCCTTGGCAAACAAACCCCTTGACAATCTAGAATACCCGTCGGTCAACATAAAACTTTTGGTCCAAAGACAACTGTCACCTTTTACACCCCATACCGCTGTATGTCTTTAAATCATAAGGATATATCCCAAAGAATTTCAGTTCATTGTTGATTTTGGTTGTGCTTTTGGGGGCAGCTGTTTGGAGTGTCCTGGCAAAGGAGTTGAGTTTTCTACTGGTTCTTTTCTCCCTGTGGATGGACGTGGTTCTTCCACAGGAGGGACAGGATGTGTGTTTTGAGGAACAAATGCACTGGGAGCAGGTCCTTGGGAGGGATATTCTGCTGGACTTGATGTATTGGGTTGCGATGGTGTGGACTCATCAGCAGGTGGCGTTGCTGAGGTCTGCTCACTTGTCTCCTACAAGAGGAGGACATCATAAGATGAATAACAGCATGGAAAGGTTAAACATTTCAAAATAATAGACTGAGGTGAGGTACAATTAGGGTTAATAAAAAAAAACATTGCTTTTAGTATTTTACATTGCTATAGTAACATATTTTAGTATCCTAGGATGTATTACATTGTGGTATTATTTTCATAATTCACATTTTCATTTTTAATAATACTCAAACTATTCTATATATAGGGTTAAGATTAATTAAATTAATGAATCAGTGATAAAAAATACTGTAATACCTGTTTTTATTTAATAAAAAATAAAGACAGTACAGTTATTACTGTGATGCATAAATACTTCACATTTTAAGTTATATATATTTTGAGAATCTAGTTTTAAAGTTAAAAAATCATGTAAAGATGTATTTTAAAAAAACCAACCTGTTATTATTTTGGGTTGAAATATGATCTAGACATGTTATTGACATCTTTCGTGAGATTCACCAACCAAGCATTTGTTTGACTTCAAATAGGTATTAGTCACTGCTTATAAACATTGTGTACTTTCCAGATTAGCTCTTGTTTCGACAGCCACATGACAAATAAGTCACTTTTTTTTTATCTACATTGTGCCAAATGCGACAAGAACATACAGAGGTCCACGTAACAAATAAACAGCATTTCCAGACTTTGAATATTTGCTCAAAAATACATAAATAAGGCATTACAATAAAGCCTTGACGTAATATTCTCATGCAGAGAGGAGAAATTTGGACAAAAAGCATTTGAATCAAAGAAGCATATTTTAAGAATGGAAAAACAAAACTGACAACAGAAAAACATTTATTTTAAGAAGCTACTAGCACAATGGTGTTAGTAAGACTCACATAAATGATCCAATACATAAAGAATGAAAGAGGAAATTCAGTAGCAGACTGACAGGACTGCATGCAGTTTTTTTGTGTGTGTAAAAAAGTCAAAGTGCAAAGACAAAGTTTTTTTTCCTCACCTTTCACCTGAGAAAATGACAGCATAAATGCAAAGAAAAAGAGTAAATAATTAAGTAAAAGGTATCAAATGTAATTTGCCATCAGTATGAAATGTCTACATTTCTCCACATTGGTTTTCACAATAATTACATACCAAAAATCCAAGATGACAAATTAATACAGATATAAATAAGAAAATTAGCAGGAAAAGATCATGAAAGAAATGTTATTAAACAGCGAGAATGAAACTTTCACCTCCTCATGTCCACATCCCAAATCACAGAGGGTGCCATCCTACCTGCGGGGCTTGACTTTCACCGAGGTTGTTATTCTTTGTCAAAGCCGCCATATCTCTGATCTGACAGAGGGCGAAAGCGATGGCGACCCAGGGGGAGGCGGACACCACCCAGGCCGGCTTGTTGGTATCTTCTAGCTCTTCCTGATGCCTGGTTTTCCTAAGAGGAGTCTTTGAATCGGGATTTGGCTGAGAGGCAGAATGGTTCTGCACCAAGTCAATAGTGGCGATAGGCACTGGGCTGGAGGGAACTGGGATGTTCTCAGCCAACATCGAGTCCTCTGTAAAGAGCACAAAGATGTTATCAATGAGCTGTTGCAGGTTTTACAGCAGCAAAACAACCTTTTTATTGTAAAACAGCAGGAAGAAACATACTTTTATCCTCATTCTGACCTAACAGCCACTGTATCAGAGAGAAGATGAGTAATGTGACCAGAGAGGCCATTCCAAGGCCTCTGAAGGTTTCTGCAGCACCTAAACAGGAAATTTGCAAGATGAAAAAGGAAGCTTGAGAGGAAACAAGCCTGATTCTGTCAGATATTGAAGTTATTCACACCGGAAATCACAATCTAAACATTTTCTTCTTCTTTTTGATAGATTTTATTTATATTCAGTGGGGTACAAATGTCTAAAATATATATGTTTATTAAGTATACTTAAAAAAAAAAAAGTACCATGTTTTTAGGAATAAACAGCTGTATAAAATCAGGCAAATGATATATGAACAAACCCCTCTGTTAAAACTTTCAGAATATAGATAGGAATAAAACTAAAGTTTGTTGTACACAAGTGCTGCTAAACTGGAGATTTTTGGCTCAGTGCAGGTGAAAAAAATATTTGAGAAAACAGCCTTTAAAGATATGTATTGTAATTGAAATCTACAGATGCAAATAGATAAAGTGCAACAAAATAAATTCCTAAAAGTGTATTTTGGATGTCTTCTTTCCACTAGTCTGAAACAACACGTTATGAAAAGCCAAATAGCCTAAAATTGACCAGTGCTTGAAAAAACACTGTTTTTGCCTGTAGTGCAAAAATTCACCTTTACTACAGGCAGTATTGCCAAGTCCGTGGTTTTCCAGCAGAATTGGGCTACGTTTAAGTTAAGTTGGTGCCATGGGTTGATTTCCACCAAGGAATGTACAATTTTGGCGCTCCAACACCACCAAATCACACCCACCCGACATACAAATTCAGCTGAAAATTTGGCCCCCGAGGGCAATTGGGATAGTTTTGTTGGGCAGTCCTGCAACCCTGACTGCAAGAGTCTGATTCTTTATAACTGTGTCTACAAATATAATAGCATAAAAGCATGCATGAGGCACATGTATGGTATATCTGTGACGCCACACGGTGTTTGTTTGTTGATGTCATACCAAAAAAGTTGACAAAAACTCCTCCTAGCATGGCTCCACAGCCTCTCCCCAGTCCCAGGTGCAGACCCTGCAGGATCCCCTGAGCCGAGGTGCGCAGGGCTGGCGGGACAGCAGCGCTCAAATACGAGATGCATGCCGCCCACACTGATGCATGTGTCAAACCTGCACGACAGATTACCATAAATAAACACTTGTGCATCCGCTTGAATAGATAAACACACTATTCATGAGTTCATTGTAATACATAATATGACCACAACAATAAGACAATATTTGCACTCGCTAAACAAAACAAATTTGAATAAAATAACAATGAAAAGCAGCTCTATACTAGTTTTAAATAATATGATTTTAATCTGCTTCAAGTTATCAATAAAAGTTAACCAGGAACCAACTATAACATTTTGTTATTTTCACTGTAAATTAAACAAAAATGGTTTATAAATTAAATAATCATATGATAATGCCTATTTTGGTATGGATTAACCTTACTTCATCACGTGTGATTATTTGATTACTCTACTTGATAAAGGCAAAACAAATACGAACAAAAAAAAACTAAAGACTGAAAACAGTAAAGCTAATTTTATAAAAACAATTATGACTCGAAATTCTGCCACAGTTGAGGATGCTGTAAAATAAAGTACATATAGCATATAATTAAAATCATCATATCAATGGTGGCAAATTGCTTGCAACTGTAAACAACAGAACTTTGATTCTTGTTGTACCCATCAACATCCTTCATTAAGTTTTTTTCATCTTGGATTGATCTCACACTGTATTTTCATATTCCTCCTCTGTTCCTTCATAACTTACATGTGTAAATAAGCAGTCTTGCCAACTGCTAGCAAGCCGGTCAATATTGTCATGTTGCGCAGCCACAATTAAAGGGATGGTTCACCCAAAAATGAAAAGTCTGTCATCATTTACACACCCTCAAGTTGTTCCAAACCTGTATGAGTTTCTTTCTTCTGTTGAACACAAAAGAAGATATTTTAAAGAATGTCGGTAACCAAGTTGATGGGCCCCATTGACTTTCATAGTCTGGTTACCAACATTCTTCAAAATATCTTCTTTTGTGTTCAACAGAAGAAGAAAAAAAAAAACATGATGAGGGCGAGTAAAGGGATAGCTCACCCAAAAATGAAAATTCTTTCATCGTGTGAGGTGGGAAGAGGGCGGTCCTGCACAGTATGTCAATAGTCAACATGTTTGCATGATAATAGTGGCTAAAGCAGCTAAACAGGCTTTCAGAACCTGCTTCAGAAAGGTCCTGACCACAAAAAAGGAAGAGTTTAGTATTCTGACGTTAAACAACATTTTTTACCAAGTACCAAGAAGCACATTTCTTTCAGCTTTGAAACAAACAGCAATGTCTTTATTTCTAAACTGTAACTGTGTGATTGCAACAGGGTTTCTGATGTGAAATAATGTGTCGGAAATACAGCAGAAACAGCTGAATCATGTCCTTAGATGAACTCGAAGTCAGATATGGTCACTCAAGAGCACAGCCCTCCAATCTAAACCCCACTTCCTGTTTGATAATGCCACTGCAGCCACTCGGGCGACACATAAAAAACACCTTATTTCTCACCTTGAAGCACCTCCATGGGTAAAACTATCCATGCATTCTCCAGGTAGGAGATATACAGATAGCGTGCGGTGTTGCAGGCCAGTCCGATATAGAGGACTCTAAAAAGAGAATGCAAACAAGAGAAAGAAACACAATTATGTAATACAAGCATGTCGTATTTCCTTCGAACTTATAAAACAATGCTTTTGTGTACAATGAAAATGTCACTCTGGGTGTGGCTAAACCCTTTGCTTTATAAAGCCTATTGTAGTTAAGGCTGGGTGTTGCATTTGCTGGTGGTGATGTCAGTCTCTAATCTGACACCAGAATGAATGACTCACTCTGTCCTAAGGACGGGCTGTCTGGGAGTGTGACTGACCACACGAGAATTCACCAGTGCTAATGTATGAACACTGAATCTCGCACAGGAAAAAACAACGTTAATGTAATTAACCAGTTACAATACCAGTTTAATTTGAATAATGTTTCCTGGAAAACAACTCTAACGAGACTGGTACTTTAAAAAAATAAAAATAAAATGAAGCATCTCATTTCAGCTCTACTAGAATCACCAAGTGTCAATTATAGTCAGCATAAAATGAAAATACACCATCTAATTTCTAAACGCATGTTATTGATCTTACTGTGAATGATTCATTCATATGGGATTCTTTAGTACTTTTTAATCAAAATGTCACAAGTTGATCTTCCAGTGAAACGACAGGTGACATACTGTATGTTGGGCTTCTCCTAAAATTTAGACAGGTTAAAGGAACAGTTCACACAAAAATGAAAATTCTGTCATCATTTACTCACCCTCAAGTTGTTCCAAACTTTAATCAATTTCTTTCTTCTGCTGAACACAAAAGAGGATATTTTGAAGAATATGGGTCACCAAACAGTTGATGGACCCCATTGACTTCCATAGTATGGGGAAAAAAAATACTATGGAAGTCAATGGGTTGGGTTACTGACATTGTTCAAAATATCTTCTTTTGTGTTCAGCAGAAATGGGTGAACTATCCCTAAACCCCACCCTTTTTACGATTGCCTGCAAGCTCGCATCCCCCCCCCTCCCCCCCGGGCTAAATCTTTCTTTTCCAATAATCTGTTTAACTCGGATGTACTGTACGTCACAATTTGGAAGAAATGATCTGTCGCTACTTCTGTTTCATCGTGACTTAAAATAATGATTGTTTCCAAACAAGTTTCTCAAACACTCTCCCAGCTGGTCATTGGTTTAACAAATACATAGCCCAGCCTCAAACTCACACCATTGGTTGAGTCAGTATTGCTGTTGTCGGGCTGATCAGGAAACTCAAACACAGCAATGATCTGCGCCACAGTGTTTACACATTTTGAATCAACCTACAAATGGCTTACTTATAGTTATGTGCATTTTAACAAAAATACACAAAAACCTTTAAACAGGAGATTTTAAACTATTTTTACTCCATGCAACTACATGCAAAAGCAGCTCTGGGAGATATTCATGCAAATGTTGACTCTACTAACTACACAGAACGTCTGTACACTGTGTTGGCTCTGCCACACCCCGTATGCCTTTAGAAAGCTTTAGAATAGATCCACAAAAGAAGCAAGCTCAATGGATCAATGCTGGAAAGCCTAGACAATGTGTGATGGGGCTAATGGCAGGATAAAGTTACACGCCTCTCCGCAGGCATGACTGAAAATAGGCCACTTAACAAAGGCTACAGAGACTAAACTGAAGATATCACAATCACATGGATGAACAAAACATATTTGCCTCCATATGAAGATTAGCTTTTCTGGATTAAACATTTTTTTTATATATAGATTTTTTTTAAACACAGGAATTTATTACTAATTTATTTATTACTAGCAAATTGTTTTCTATGATTATTTAAAATAAATACAAATATTGTATAAAAAGTTATGTAAGAGATATTGGCCTGGTTTCACAGACAGGGTTTAGATTAAGTCAGGATTAGGCCTTAGTTCAATTAGTGAATTTAAGTGGCCAAGCTTTTATAAAAGTGCCTTAGAATTTTTTTTTTTACTGGTGTGCATCTTGAGACAAAACAATAGCACTTACATATTTTCAGAAAAAAAGCAAGTTGATTTCACTTAAAACAGCTCAAACATGCATTTTAGTCTGGGACAAATCTTAAGCCTTGTCTGTGAACCCAGGCGAAAGTCACAATTGTGAGATATAGCCTAAAGTCACATTGTGAGATATGAAATCAATCACATTGTAAAATATTAAGACACATTGTAGAGTTCAATTCCAAATAGTAAGAAATAAATAAAGTGACATTGTGATATATAAAGTCATAGCAGAAGCAGTACTGCAAGTTTCACCACCAGGTACATTAGATTTCATGACATTTTACAATCAAGCTGAAATAGTCAATGTTGTAAGCCAGATATCATTTTATATTTTGTAGCTACAGTTCTGTTACACATCTAGCTTGCTACTGTGACACTATTGTGCTTCAGACACAAAATGTATGCTAACAATGTTCTCCATCGTGTGATCCCCCCCCCCCCCCCCCCCCCCCCCCCCCCCCCCCCCCCCCCCAGAATTAGCTGCAGGGTGGGATTTCCACTGAACTGGTTTGGGAAAAAAAAAAGAAATCACGCACACCATCATATCAAAAAAGGCCAGAGAGACATTAACCTTGTTGAGTTGACACTAAATAATTAGCTTTCCACAAAACATCTGTTGACCAATACAACATCTCCATAAACTGGGAAGTGGTCACTGAAACTGTCTGATAATTTCTGTATCGCAAAACGTCTGGCAGAGATGCTGCCAAATGCTACCAGTTAACATCATTAATAATGCAAAGACTGAGCCACCAGTACAACTTAAGCTATCTCTTAAGGTGATTCATCTAGTTCACTCTGAAGAACCGGTGCTCTGGGAAATGCCACACACATGAGAAATACCACAACGCAGATAGAGGATGTGAGCAGGCCTTTCCATGTGTCTGTTTACCAGTGCCCAAAAATAAATGGTAAACATCCTGGAAAATGTCTGCATCGTGGATGTATAATGTGTGCCCAAGCTAGGCAGTGCCCATTTTAGAGCTTAGCCAAAGTCAACAATAATTACTGAGACACATTTAAACAACCTTTGGACTTCTCCTGTGTGTCTAATATACACCTCTATGGCACAAATATACCAGTCTATATGTGTTAAAAACAAGGTAAAGGCAGAAGAAAGAAGTGCATTTACATCACTTTTGTTTGTGTTCATCAGATGTGCATGGTTGTGTTCTCATAAAATATTGAGCTACCAGTAACCATTGCATAAAGGCAGTACTTTGGCACAGATCCAAAATACATAAACTAAACCTACCCTGCTAAAACAACTTCTTGTCTCTGCCCATACAAAGCACTTATGGGTCTTTAACTTTTGTGAACATCAGAAGACTGTCTATGGCATATCAAATGCAAAACAGATTGTTTAAAGAAAGACAATTCAACAATTTTGTTTAGTAAAACACAAACCCATTTAAAGCCTTTCTAACTATATCTGTCCACGTTGAGTCAGTAACAGAAATTGTTGTAGCTGCCACAACCGCATGAGTTTGGTTCTGAACAGTGTTGTTCGTTTGAACTAAAACTATTAACTATTATTAATTAAAATTTTTTAGTTGAAATAAAATGAGATAAATATTAGATGAAAAACTGAAACTTAAAAATGTTTACACGACAATGATGTACAAAAATGGATAGTTTTTCCTTTGAGTTTTTCACGTACAGACGACAACATTGTAAAGATTATTTATTCCCATTCACACGGATCCGTGAAAACGACTAAGAACTATGTATTATGCATGCCAGGCCAGTAGCTGGTGATGTCACTTAGTAAAGAAAAACTACATGCCTATAGACTGATCATGTAATAAGCATGCGCATTACGTCACCGTTTTCACAAATTCGCGCTTCTGTAGAAGCGATAATGGAAACGTTTTCAAAAACTTGCACTTTGAATCGATAAACGACATGCAAAATGATAAAAGACGTCTGTCTAGTGCACGTTCACACAGAAAAAACATTAAAGGAGAACTCCGGCGCAAAATGAACCTTTGGTCTAATAAAACATATACCTAGTCAACCGTTCTCTGAGATTTGTTTTCATAATGATCGAATGTAAAGAGTTTTATCTCTAAAAACTGTTTAGCGTATAACGCTAGTTATGGGGGCATCTATTAAGTAAAAATAAATCGCTAGTTTTTACCACTAACAAGACTCAAAATAGCCCCACACTAACACAGTAACATAATGAGGGTCCCTTCATGCAAAACGAAGCATTGAGAACTTTGTAAGTGTACAGACCGTTTAATAAGAAGATAAAGATAAAGACAGTCCACTTCGTGTATACAGACAGGAGCCATCTTTGGAAAACAGTCTCGACTAATCAAACCACGAACGACGTGCTAAGTGAGCTGAACTGTATGAAGTTCAGTGAACTTCTGAACTGTATGAATGGCGTTCGTGGTTTGACTAGTCGAGACTGTTTTCCAAAGATGGCTCCTGTCTGTATACACGAAGTGGACTGTCTTTATCTTTATCTTCTTATTAAACGGTATGTACACTTACAAAGTTCTCAATGCTTAGTTTTGCATGTAGGGACCCTCATTATGTTACTGTGTTAGTGTGGGGCTATTTTGAGTCTTGTTAGTGGTATAAACTAGCGATTTATTTTTACTTAATAGATGCCCCCATTACTAGCGTTATATGCTAAACAGTTTTTAGAGATAAAACTCTTTACATTCGATTATCATGAAAACAAATCTCAGAGAACGGTTGACTAGGTACCAATGTTTTATTAGACCAAAGGTTCATTTTGCGCCGGAGTTCTCCTTTAACAGCATAGTGGAACACAAAAATGCTTTCTGGGTAAACCGACTGTCTTATTACCTTAGTATCCAACCCTACCAAGTAGCAGAATGTTGTCTGCACTTCCATTAGTGGCCGCTACTCATTTGCATAAAAGTCAAAGTGTGCTCAATTGTTTACTAAATTTCTCAAATGTCTACTCTCACTGAAACTGAATGACTCACGGTTTCAACAAATTACTGCCAGTGAATGCCCGAAATAACAGGAGAAACCTTGGCTGACCTCTAGCATTGGGATTAGACGGAATGGATGTACAAGTGGTAAGTGGTAATTCTACTTTGGCTAGCACCCGCACACCTGCTTTTAAACAAATCAAATAGGTCTTCTGAGCAGTAGATTAACTTACAATACAAATGCCGTTATTAAGCTCAAAATTAATTCCATATATTTTACACAAGTATGTTCTCACCTGATGTGTCCAATGAGCTCAATGAGTTTGTGGCTGATGAAATAGGCGGCCAGCTCAGATATGTGGCTGAGCACCGAGCAGATGCCGAAGAGTGTGGTGGTGCCCTTAAGGTCTTCCAGATGCCAGTAGAGGAAGGTGAACACGAAACCATAACAAAAGCCCATGAACCAGGCCACAAAGAGAACCGTACTGTAGCGGACGGCACAAATGATCCGGAAGAGATCTTTGAAGGGAAAGGGTTGTGGGTTGCTTTCAGGGCACACTGGCGAGTCATCTGAACTGGACTCTGGAGACGAGACCTCCTGAACGACTTGAGGAATTTCCACATCCTCCTTCTTGTCCTCTTCCTCACCTGATCTATAAACACTGTTGTCAAAGTGGAACTGCGTGGCCACAATCAGCGCTGAGCTCATCAGCACCCCAAAAACTATGAACGCAATTTGGTAATTTTTATAGTCGGGTAGAACACAACCCGAGCCCTGGATGAAGATTGTGATGTGTGTGTGGTCGATCCAAATGCCCACTGACAGCATAGCGATACCCCATCCCAGAGATCCCCACATCCTCTGAAGTCCATAACGGTCTCTATGTTGGCCCAAGTACTGAAGAGTGATAGTGTCCACAATGGTCACAGCTGGGGCGCTGAAGAACTCACCAATAATAATGACCAAGAGGATCAGGAGAAATATAGTATCGACTTGTTCCTTATTGAAAACTATTAAATACTCTTTGAGTTTGGCAGTGGTAGCTTGCGTTTCAATTGTCGAGGTAGATTTTGAAGTGACTGTTGAGGTACGGGGCAGCGCCGTGGTCGAGTTAGATAACATACGAATGCTGCCAGCATTCGCAGTGGGGTTTTCAGAGGGAGCGCTTGTAGTATTTACATCTGCACTTCGAATGTATCTAGAGTGAGATCCGTATGCTGCTAATATTGGCTGAGAAAGTGAAGGAGCGGAGTACGTATCCTCGGTCAAGTATCTTCGCTGTCTAGTACGGTTACCAGCTTGTGTATAGTTCGTAAAGTTGGTTGGCGGTGCAACAGTAGGGTCCTTACTGACACAGCTCATAGCTGCTGGCTTAACAAAGCCAATACCGCAGTTAAAGACCACCCAGCAGAGTACAGAAAACAGCAACACCGGCTTCCCTTTCTTGAAGCGGTCCGCCATTACGCCCCAGAATGGTGCACTGCAGAACTCTATGAAATAACGGATCCCAACCAGCAGGCCACTTTGGCTGGGTGTCATTCCCAGTTGCTTGTAGTATACTGCAAGGAGGGGGTGTAAAGAGCCATATGCGGAGTAAAAGAAGAAGTAGAAGACCTTGGAGATCAAGAGATGATTGTCTATTCGCACACAGCACCTTTCAGTGCAGTCCATACTCTGTGAAGTCTGAAGTGTTTCTGAGGGGGCAGGCGGTGCTGTTTGACTGCATGGTGTAGTGTTTGCCACCTGCCCCAGGGACAGAGTGTTAAAGGGTTCGGACAGGACATATTTCCTCTTCTGGTCCTCCTCATCATCTGTAAGGATGGCCACCCGATCACTCGCCATTTCTGTGTGATAAACATAAACCTCTGTTAAGGACATTGTGGATAATGTCCGGTCGTCTTCATGTTGTAGCTTTAACTAGTGATTCTCAAATGGTGGGTCGCAACCATTTGGTCAAGGTTGGGCTGATTAGCATAGGTCATTTTGCTGGTAGCATCTTTCTCCATTGACCTACACTGAAAAGTTGAAGTGCATTCTGAATCTGATATATACATTTTTTGCTAACAAAATATTATTTGTAAATATTTCCCAGTATTATAGTAGATGTTTTTGCCAGGGATCAATTTTTGGAGGGCCTTTAAAAGCATGATTATTTTTTCCTTGTCTGCTGCCTTTCAAAGCAGAGTTTACGATCACAATGGCTGGAGACAGATATGTCATCAGCCATTCAGCATTGTCATAATGCACATTTGCACTTTTTTTTCACTGTTTGTATTTATATTGTATATTTTTGTGTAAGGGAGACTTGCAAAATAAGAATTTCATTGTGTGGTCAAAACCGTGGTGTTTTACTGTGCATATGATAACAAATATATCTTGTATTTTACATTGTATAGACATTTTTCTATATGCACATGCTAATAATTTGCATGTTGTTTATATGGTTTATTATAGTAACATTAATACATTTCAATGTTTGTTTAGGCTAATATTAAGTACAATATTGCTTACTTTTGTGCATTAAACCATTTTGATACTGGCACTTGATGTCAAATGAAGCAAGGAAGGAATACTAATTAGTAGGCTACTATTTTTTCCCTCACATGATTAAGTTGAATAAGAATGCAACACACCTTAATGAGTTTTTTTGTCATGTAGATTGACCCTTAAACAGAATAAATTCAGTAATTGCCCTTGATTATCAATAATAAAGAACATTAGGATCATTAAACACTACTATCAAGTGAATATAATGTTGAATATCATGTATTGTTAGTGAAACTACATTCTTAGGTATGAGTTGGAGATCCTTTTGTTGTGAAATTAGGCGCAGTCACAATCCTAAAACATAAATATCATATACAGTATCATCACAATTAACTTCAAAGGGTGTAGTCCCTGTCTGAAACGATAACAGTAACACACCGCCTTATATTAACAATGTATACCATGCTTATATATATATATACACAATGCGTAAATGTATTTACAAACACAACTGATACAATGTTTCACATGTAAAACAGGTGACGGTGTGGCTAAATACAAGCTTACTTACCCAGTTGTTGTGAGGAAGTTTCTGTTATTTCACCGTCTGGGGTTGAAGGAGGACGATCTCTTCATCAGACTGCTCTCCCCGTCCAATCATCATTTTATCACCATCCTGGATTTTTCCTGACTTTCTATGAACAATCTTTAAACGGCGATGTATCCCGTAGAGCAGAGGAGCAGTTTTATTCTACACAGCCGGTTTTCCTCCGACCTGACGTCAATCTCTCACCTGCCTGCGATGTGCGCGTGCTCGTGGGACTGCCTTCATTTCCACTGATGTCATTAGCAACAGTGACACCCTATTTCATTTTTAATTGCTGATATTGTGTTTTAGATTTGAAGTTTGAAGTCTCTGCCAATGATAAGTTGTTATGCCTAAGATCAAGCATATGTTGATGATGTTTGGGTTTTTTAATTAATCAAAATAGACTCTATTGTCGTTTAATATAGGCTAGTTATCTTCTTGGGTTAAATTACTGCTGGATTAACAATGCATTTTAATCTGACATAACATTTCTTAACATTAACTTTTTTTCTGAGTAGCCTATGCAGAATAGGATGTAACAGCGACATCTACAGGCGGCAGGCGCACAATAAAGTTAAAATCGTGAAACTTTTAGAAAAACGCAACTAACAAGAACCAATCAGTAGTTACTTCAATATAAAGTATATAGGCTATCATTCTAACCAAGCCGTATTTGTCTGGCACAAAACAATGTGAGTTGAGATCTCACTTGGATCTCAACCCGGGTGAATCAGATTCTCGCTTACAATTTACAACTGAATCCACAACCAAGTAAAAAATAGTGATTAACAGCAGAATGTGACTTAATATTCCGTTACAAAAGAAGAGCTAAACAAGCCGTTCTAGATCTCAAATATTTTTTAGGTAAATCTGTTCATTTACAGTAAAGAATTAATTCACATTAATGAATCAGACTTTCAAGCGATTTAAGAGAGAGGACCGAGTAGAAGGAACCGATTCACTGAGATGAATCAGACTTTCCAACGCATGTGGAGCAAAGAGAAGACCGAGTAGGAAGAATCGATTCAGCTTGAATGAACGTATGAAATGACGTCAAAGTCCGTTCCTCCAATCAAACAAACTTAATTTGGCGCGAATTCCCCTGCTGTCACCTGTCACTTAAATTAGGATGATACCAATTTAGAAACATCTTCGAAAACATTCAACAAAACTTCACAAGGTAGAAGAAAATATTTCCTATCCTGCATTAATTAAATGTGGTTCACTTGCAACGAGGATAATGTTTGATTCGCGCGTCACTGCTACTCACAAATAATGCCAAAATGACAGGTTTAACAGAATATTACTAAAAAAACAAAACAAAAAAAACGTGTTTTTGGTTAAATGTAGGACACATTTAAAATGGTCTGATATTTTTAAGTGTAAATTAGCAGATGTCAATACGTTGCAAGAAAATATAGCAGCCTGTCATACAAGCAGAATAAAAGATACGGGCTTTCAACTGAAATATATAATATTGAATAGCTTTTTGTATTGTGTGATATGTAATTACCCGTGTACTAGCATTTTTAACCATGTGACATTGTACAATAGACGTTATTCAGGACTACAGGTCCTTCTCAAAAAATTCGCATATTGTGATAAAGTTCATTATTTTCCATAATGTAATGATAAAAATTAAACTTTCATATATTTTAGATTCATTGCACACCAACTGAAATATTTCAGGTCTTTTATTGTTTTAATACGGATGATTTTGGCATACAGCTCATGAAAACCCAAAATTCCTGTCTAAAAAAATTAGCATATTTCATCCGACCAATAAAATAAGTGTTTTTATTACAAAAAAAAAAGTCAACCTTTAAATAATTATGTTCAGTTATGCACTCAATAGTCAGTACTTGGTCGGGAATCCTTTTGCAGAAATGACTGCTTCAATGCGGCGTGGCATGGAGGCAATCAGCCTGTGGCACTGCTGAGGTGTTATGGAGGCCCAGGATGCTTCGGTAGCGGCCTTAAGCTCATCCAGAGTGTTGGGTCTTGCGTCTCTCAACTTTCTCTTCACAATATCCCACAGATTCTCTATGGGGTTCAGGTCAGGAGAGCTGGCAGGCCAATTGAGCACAGTAATACCATGGTCAGTAAACCATTTACCAGTGGTTTTGGCACTGTGAGCAGGTGCCAGGTCGTGCTGAAAAATGAAATCTTCATCTCCATAAAGCTTTTCAGCAGATGGAAGCATGAAGTGCTCCAAAATCTCCTGATAGCTAGCTGCATTGACCCTGCCCTTGATTAAACACAGTGCACCAACACCAGCAGCTGACATGGCCCCCCAGACCATCACTGACTGTGGGTACTTGACACTGGACTTCAGGCATTTTGGCATTTCCTTCTCCCCAGTCTTCCTCCAGACTCTGGCACCTTGATTTCCGAATGACATGCAAAACTGAGCAACAGTCCAGTGCTGCTTCTGTAGCCCAGGTCAGGCGCTTCTGCCGCTGTTTCTGGTTCAAAAGTGGCTTGACCTGGGGAATGCGGCACCTGTAGCCCATTTCCTGCACACGCCTGTGCACGGTGGCTCTGGATGTTTCTACTCCAGACTCAGTCCACTGCTTCCGCAGGTCCCCCAAGGTCTGGAATCGGTCCTTCTCCACAATCTTCCTCAGGGTCCGGTCACCTCTTCTCGTTGTGCAGCGTTTTTTGCCACAATTTTTCCTTCCCACAGACTTCCCACTGAGGTGCCTTGATACAGCACTCTGGGAACAGCCTATTTGTTCAGAAATTTCTTTCTGTCTTACCCTCTTGCTTGAGGGTGTCATTGATGGCCTTCTGGACAGCAGTCAGGTCGGCAGTCTTACCCATGATTGCGGTTTTGAGTAATGAAACAGGCTGGGAGTTTTTAAAAGCCTCAGGAATCTTTTGCAGGTGTTTAGAGTTAATTAGTTGATTCAGATGATTAGGTTAATAGCTCGTTTAGAGACCCTTTTCATGATATGCTAATTTTTTGAGACAGGAATTTGGGGTTTTCATGAGCTGTATGCCAAAATCATCCGTATTAAAACAATAAAAGACCTGAAATATTTCAGTTGGTGTGCAATGAATCTAAAATATATGAAAGTTTAATTTTTATCATTACATTATGGAAAATAATGAAGTTTATCACAATATGCTAATTTTTTTGAGAAGGACCTGTATATCACTTTAGCTGTTAGGCTAACTGTTTGGCTGTATCCATGTGGTATTTTAAATGCTTACTGAATAATCTGTGAATGACTTTTTATAAGCCGGTTTTGCATCTCATAGTAATCTTTACACAGCTACACACACTGGTACATACAGTATGCTTTGGTTTCTGCAGTGTGTTTGCGTCTGTATGTAAGATGAGATGTCTCACTTATTATAAGGGCATTTTACTTTCATCATATGCTCAACATGAATGAAGTGCTATATTGCTTTGAAAACACTTTCAAGGTAACTCCACCACCATCCAATATGAGTAATGCAGTGACTTACATATCAGACTTTCAAGAAGGCTAATGCGACCAAAAAGCAGTCACAAGATATGCTCACAGATTAATTACCTTGTCATAAAACGAAATAAATAGTTAGCTTTGATAATGAATGCTGATTTTATGTTACAAATGAGTGTATGAATTAAATGCATCAAGACTATTATTATTCCTTCTCCAGTTTGATTTATTAACTTTTTTAGATAGATAACACTTTTATCTGATTTAGATTTTTTCTTTAACTGGAATTTGACTCAATTTTGCATCATGAAAATCACATTATTTTTAGAGAAAAGCTTGGACTTGCTAACAGTCGATTAACTTCAGAAACAATAACATTTAATATTTATCAATTTTAAGTAAAAAAATACCTAATAAAACTACTCTCAGATAATTGCATTACACCTTAGATTATGTGAATGTTTCTGTACATGGATCTTTTCAAACAACATTTTTTTAAATGAACTATCGTGCTTTAAATTTGAAAGAATGGTCCAAGACTTTTGGACTCCCCATAAAAATGTATTTATTTTTAGTAGACTATGGAGTGCCGCAAGGATCGGTGTTAGGCCCTCTGCTATTCTCAATATATGCTGCCACTTGGTAATATTATAAGAAAACATTGAATTAATTTCCACTGTTATGCTGATGACACTCAATTATATATTTCATCACGACCAGATGAAAACACTAACTTATCTAAATTGACAGAGTGTCTCAAAGATATAAAATGCTGGATGACGCGTAATTTCCTGCTACTAAATTCAGATAAAACGGAGTAATAAGTATTAGTTATTGGTCCAAAAAACTACCCACAAAACCGCTTACAATACAACTTTAATTTAGAAGGATGTCCTGTTACTTTATCCACTACAGTAAAAGACCTGGGAGTTATACTAGACCGCAACTTGTCTTTCGAAAATCATATTTCATACGTTACAAGAACAGCCTTTTTCCACCTTAGAAACATTGCAAAGCTACGTAACATGCTATCTGTCTCTGATGCAGAAAAGTTAGTTCATGCATTCATGACCTCGAGACTAGATTACTGTAATGCTTTATTAGCCGGTTGTCCTGCATCCTCAATAAACAAGCTACAGTTAGTGCAAAATGCAGCTGCTAGAGTTCTTACTAGGTCAAGAAAATATGATCATATAACACCAATTTTATCATCTTTACACTGGTTACCTATCAAGTTCCGTATCAATACAAAGTACTATTACTGACCTATAAAGCCCTAAATGGTTTAGCTCCTGTGTATTTAATGGACCTTCTATCGCCCTATAATCCATCGCGTTCTTTAAGATCACTAAATTCGAGGCTTCTGGTCATTCCTAGGATATCTAAGTCCACTATAAAGGAGGGAGGGCGTTCTCACATTTAGCTCCTAAACTCTGGAATAGCCTTCCTGATATTGTTCGAGGCTCTGACTCGCTGTCCCAGTTTAAAACTAGATTAAAGACGCATCTCTTTAGCCAAGCATTCACATAATGCTTACCTTTTATACCACTGTTGAATCAGATCAAATGCATTTAATAGTATAAAACTTGAAGAGTCTGTAGGTTATTTGAATAGGTTGCATAGTATTTACAGTCATTACGTTCCTGTGTATATTGCGTGAATGATGGGTGGTTGGGCAAATATTGTGTTTTGCGGTAAGTGGTATGCCATACGGAACCGTTGCCACTGAAACTGCATTAACGCACCAGTGGGGCTCGACAGCCTTAGTCAAACGGGTTGGTGCGTATGGTTGGCTGCGGAGAGATTGTGA